AAAAAAAAAAAAAAAGAAAAGAAAATATTTGATGTTTGTGTCCAGTTCCTGGCACTCTGGCACCTAAACCACTGGGATCACAACTGTGGTAACAGTGTCTTTGGTATGCTAATGAGATGACTGGTGGCTGGGGGTAGGGGTATGCAGCTTCAGATCAAGCCATGATTAGAGGGTTGGAACTTTCAGGCCCAGCCCCCAAACTCTGGGGAGACAGAAGGGGCTGGAGATTGAATTCAGTCACCAATAATCAATAATTTCATCAATCACACCTATGTAATGGAACCTCCATAAAAATACCTAAATGAGGAGAGCTTTGAGTTAGTGAATACCTTGAGGTGCTTAGAGGGCGGTGCACCCAGACAGGGTGTGGGAGCTCCCTGTGCCTTGCCCTGTGCAGCTATTCCACTGGCTGTTCCTGAGTTGTAAACTTTATAATAAACCGGGAACAGTAAGTGAATTATTTTCCTGAGTTCTGTGAGCTGTTCCAGCCAACCCAGTGGGGAGGTTATGGGAACACCTTCATTAGTAGCCAGTTAAACAGAAGTGTGGGTAACCTGGGGACCTAAGAGTGACATCTAGTGTCTGAAGTGGGAACAGTTGTAGGACGGAGCCCTTCACCTCTGGGATCTGCACTAACTCTGGATGGTCAGTGTCAGAAAGGAATTGAATTGTTGGATATCTAGTTGGTGTGAGGAAAGCCCCTGCACACTGGGTACCAGAGTGAAAAAAACTAATACCTGGCAAAGGGCAGTTATCCTGGATTATCCAGGTACACCCTACTAACATCTCAGTTTTAACCCAGCAAGATCCATGTCAGACTCCTGACCTCAAAACTGCTATTTTAAGCCACTGGGTTTGTAGTAATTCATTATAGCAGCAATAGGAAATGGGTATAATATTCTTTGAGCCCCTTGTACTTGCTTTTCATAACACTTTACATCGTTTGCAATTATATTTTTATTTGTGTGGTGATGTGTTTAACATCTGTCTCTCAGATATGCATAAGCTCTGAGGGCAAGGGACCATCTCTGTCTGTCTGAAACACACACATTATAGGCATTCTCAATATTAACTGAAAATCTAAAATCTATACTAGCATGGTAGGACTTGTCCCCTTGTCTCAGGAGGTAATTCTGTGTGCTCCTTTTGTTTGTAATTGAAGGGACAATAGAAGTAAGAGCAGAAATCCTTAGCAAGGTAGAAATTCATCCTTTAAATCTGTGTTGTAGTCACTGACAGCTGCCAGAGAGGGAAGGGCTCATACTGAATTATCCAGGCCTTGGTCACTAACTATGTAGACTCATTAACTCTGGTATAAACCACTCAAAGGAAATCATAAGAAAGAGAAGCCTGGGGCCTCACAGCTAACCAGGGAGCAGTTAGAAATGAAAACACTGTTTGAAAACAGTGATGTCCCCACACCTGTCTGCCCTTCAAGACAGAGCTCACCGGGCATGGTGGCTCATGCCTGTAATCGTAGCACTCTGGGAGGCTGAGGCAGGTGGATTGCTTGAGCTCAGGAGTTCAAGACCAGCTTGAGGAAGAGCTAAACCCTGTCTCTAAAAATAGCCAAGTGTTGTGGCAGGCACCTATAGTTCCAGCTATTTGGGAGGCTGAGGCAAGAGGATCTCTTGAACCCAAGAGTTTGAGGTTGCTGTGAGCTACGACACCACCGCACTCTATTGAGGGAAAAAAAAAAAGACAGAGCTCAGCTCATTCTGCATCCAGATGTGGTCACCTGGTCCTACAGAACATGCTGTTCCCTTTAAACAAAAAAAGTTTTTTTCAATTACACTTGTTAAAGCAGAGCAGTAAGGAAGACTTTCTTCAGGACCATTGCGACAGGTACAAGGACCAATGCAAGTTTTGCAGTAGGTGGGAGAGAGATTGGGCTCAATTTAGAGTACAAGACAGGCAAGTGGAAATTAATAGCCAAGGAGCAGAGTTGGGGGGTGGGGCAGTGGATGGAAAATTACTAAGAGGAAACATCTGGGGCAATGGGGATTCTGCCAAACCCACCTAACAAGATTCTTGCTAAAGACAGGCCAGGGTGATTGACATCATGTGGTGGGGAAATGGAGGGAGGACGGTGGTGGTGGAAGGACCTGATCAGATATCAAGGGTGGAAGGTTCTTGTTCAAATTCCTTAGCAGGGCTAAAATTGGATCTTACTAGGAAGTACTTCTGGACCTAGAAGGCAGAAGCCTGAGTAAAGGTTGCCCAAGGAAGGAATCTTTGTCATCCCTTAGATTTTCTATTGACCTCTTCTGTTTTCCTCCTTTCCCCCCTCCCACTTTTGTCTATTCTCTTCCTCCTTCCCTGGGACATACTCACTCTCAATTATACCTTTTTGTGCCCTCTTCCTGAAACAGAGGGAACAGCAGGTCTTTTGTGTTGGACATAAGCACCAGTTCTCTAGAGAGCTCTAGTTCTTGCTACGCCTTGAGCTGTCCCAGCAGCACACTCTACAACTAGAGATCGTTCACTCCAAGATTGCAGCTTTCCTAACCAGTGGCCCCCACATAGTAAGGAGAGACTGAGGCATTCATGGTCCTTCCTATCTTCAGATCCTACCACAAGGCTGTGGGATCCTGGGGAGCAGTTCCTAAATCTGGCAGCTGCCCTTACAAATGTCTCCTACTCTGTGAGGGACAGTCTCCAAAATTCAGTAGTGGGCATCCAGTGTCTTGTCCAGAATGCCTGGTGAGCTCACAATAAAACCTGTATATTGGATGCCAACCTGGCATTCTGGTGAAAAAGAATGAACAGTAGGAGTGGAGGGGAAACCAGAGAAAGACATGTCCATGGCAGGAGACAGGTTTGTCCCTACCCAGCTGGGGCAGGGCTGGGGGTGGTAAGGCATTAGGTCTCCAGATGCCAGAAGTGAAGAACCAGGAGTTGCCTGGCCATTATGTCAATGATCATATTATGGGTTAATCATAACAGGCTAGGCACTGGAGCCCTGAGCCTGCAGTTTGGCACACAATCCTCACCACAACCATTACCTTGTTAATTAACATCTATGCGCCTAGACCACTTCTCCCAGACTCCACAATGACACCTAATTCATTTCCAGTTCTAGTGCCTGCTTGGCACAAACTGAAGTCTAATACATAGCTGTTGACTAAATCAGCAAATGAAAGAAATAACCAATTGATAACCAACACGACCCACGCAAGTACATTTTAGGTCTTCTTTTCCTAGTCTAAAATTTAGGGGTTGTACTAGGTCAGCAGCCCGGGAACCAACTTCACCCCAACTCTGCCGCTTACTAGCTGCAGGTGACCTAGGGGTGTGCCCAGTTCTCTATCTATAACACTGGCATAACAATACCTACCAGTTAGGGTTGGTTCAAAGACGAATCAAGTTAATAATTGCAAAGCGCTTAAAACAGTGCCTGGGGCGGCACCCGGGGCTCAAAGGAGAAGGGCGCCAGTCCCATATGCCAGAGGTGGTGGGTTCAAACCCAGCCTTGGCCAAAAAAAAAACAGTGCCTAGAAGAAAGTACTATATAAGTAAAAAGTAAATTTCCAGGGTCCCCTTCCCTGGAGTTGCGGGAGGGAGGTGTGGAGAAGTGGACCAGGCAGTTGCCAAGTGGCCAAACTCTCGCACATACTCACTGAAGCCGCAGGATTACGTTCCCGACATTGCGTCCCTTCGAGGACTACATTACCCACAGTGCCTCTCGCGGGCCCGCCCACCTTGCCCTGTTCCCTCCGACAGCCACCTCAGCCAATAGCGCGAGGACTGCGTTGCCTACAGTGTCTCGCGCGGCGTGGCCCAGCCTACACCGCTTAGTTCCCACGCCGAGTTGGGTTTTTGGGCCCCTAGGTTGGCACTCCGGGACAGCTTGTTTGCCCTACTTCCCGCGCCTGCGGTCCAGCTCTGGTCCCGGACCCCTACTGCGGTAGCGCTCCGAGCTCCCCACGACCCGCAGCGCTGCCGGTGAGTGCGGGCACGGGGGTGGAAGTCCCGGCTTAAGGTCTTACTGCACTGCCGGTGCCAGCACCTGAGTTTGTGCTGCGGCCTCGGGCACCGCTCACCCTCCACCTGAAGGGAGGAGACGCGAAAGCAGCCTACCCGGGGAGTCCTAACCCTCCTGTCGGTGACTATCCACTTGGGCCGCGGAGGAGCTTGGCTAAACTCAAACACTGGGTCGCGGGTGGGGGGCAGAATCTAATCTGCATCTCCCTGGGCCCCAGTTTTCATCAGCTTTCCAAAAGGACCTTCCATAAAGGGCCAACTGTAGTAATAGGAAATAACGGTTCCCAAGCCATGACCACGTTCCAGTAATGCGCTAAACCCTTCCCAAACATCCCATTTAGTCCAAGCAGCAGCCTGTGTGTAGGCCATATTATCACCTCTAGTTTTCAAATGAAGAAATAAGCCTGGAGCCCTTAATTTGCCCAAGAATAAGCAGGGGGATAGTAGCAAAGATGGGTTTGTTCTTCAGCCCATTTCCTTCACCAATGAGGATGAGTTGGCCCTGGAACCAGGGCAGGGGCTTACAGGTGCAGATGGCTTATTTACCCCCAGTGCTACACTTTAAATAATTTTGTCATCTCTTCACAGAGCTCTGAAAAAAACATCTTTTCCTGTATCTGGGCAGAGTGTAGGGAGTGACAAGTTTGACTTCAAAGAGAAGGAGCCAGGCCAGTGAGAACAATGGCCACTCCCTCTGGCCTTCAGCCTTTGCCACCCCTGGAGCAGGACCTGGAGGGGCAGGACCTAGAGCAGGATGAGATCCTGATTGTGAAGGTGGAGGAGGACTTCTGCTGGGAAGAGGAGCCTCCTCTGGAGGAGGAAGACCCCAGCCCTGAGACTTTCCGCCAACTCTTCCGCCTCTTCTGCTACCAGGAGGTAGCTGGGCCCCGGGAGGCCCTGAGCCGCCTTTGGGAGCTCTGCTGCCGCTGGCTACGCCCAGAGCTGCGCACCAAAGAGCAAATCCTGGAGCTGCTGGTGCTGGAGCAGTTCCTGACTGTGCTACCGGGGGAGATCCAGGCCCGGGTGCGTGAACAGCAGCCCGAGACCGGTGAGGAGGCCGTGGTCCTCGTGGAAGGGCTGCAGCGGGAGCCCTGGAAACAGAGGCAGCGGGTGAGGAGGGGGGCATTTTAACCCTGAGGTGAGGAAATATGCCCTCTGTGGTCCTCCTGGCCCTTCTGCCTGAGGTCTATGAATAGTGATTCCTTGGGCTCTGGAATCTTAACCAGCCTTGGCTATTAGGTGACTGGGGGTTGCCTGGATGCTGTGAATTAAAGAAAGCAACTGCAGAATGTTTCCCAGCCTTGGCCAATGGGTTTCCACTCTCTGATTAACCACGTATGGCCCCACTGGTCCTTATGAGCAAGTGTGGGTTGGTTTGTTAATACCATCCCAGCATAGACCAAACAGGTTGTGAAGGGAGGGAGGTCCAGCACCATCTAAGGTAGGGCTTTGGGAGTGGAACTGACCCCAAAAGAGGGAAGAACACTGGGAAGAATGACAGTCTGGTGGGGGGCCTCTCTGGTTAGAGGTCATAGAGGTTCCCCAGTTTCTCTAAAGGAGTGTTTTTCAACCTTTTCTTATCCCATGGCGTACTTGAACTGATGATTAAATGTCTGCAGCATACTTAAATTATGTTGATCCAAAAAAGGAGTAAAAAATATATACTTACTGTGCTTTGAACTTCTTTTGAAAATAATTGAATTAATGATCTTTAAAAAATTTTGGCTCGGCGCCTATAGCTCAACCAGCTAAGGCACCAGCCACGTACACCTAAGGTGGCGGGTTTGAATCCCCAGCCTGGACCCGCCAAACAACAATGATGGCT